AGATGCGAGTCACGTTTAAAAACAAGGATCCATTCCGTTCACGCACTGTATTTGCACTAATTTAAATTCAAGAACACCACCTCTCCCAACACACACACACACACACACACACACCCTTTGCACATAGTGTGCCCTCTCTCTCTCTCTCTCTCTCTCTCTCTCTCTCTCTCTCTCTCTCTCTCTCTCAGATGTGAGGACAGGAAGGCATTTCATGCGGTTTTGACCACAGGCCATAGTCTTTGGTTTTAAATCTTACGTTTATAGTAAGAGGTCAGCACTAGAACAGACCCGTTTGCTAACTAATGGCTTTTGCTATAAAATAAGCTCTAAAAACGTGTTGTTAACACTCTGGGCAGTGAAGGTCTCTCTCCCTCTCCCTTCCTCCACATTTGCATGTTTAAAGCTTCAGCTGAGCCTCATTTTAGGCTTGTACGTGCGGCACTCGGACGCCTGAACAAGCTCCTCTAAATAAAATCCGCTTCATTGACACGGTGAGCAGCACAACTCTCCTCGCTGTCGCCGGGCAGAGCTCAAGCCCCGCCCCCTGCGCTGGGATTGGCTGGTAGATTCACCCCTCTGCTCTTTGATTGGCTTATATTTTCTCTCTGCTGCACTAGAATTGGCTAGTAGTTCATATTCACAAGCGGGTGAGTATGAACTACCAGCCAATCATAGCGCAGGAGACGGGATGGTACGAGTCAATCCTGGCACAGGAGGGCGGGGTTTGTCGAAATTTGTTGGGGAAAATAAAAATCTAAAGAGAAACAATGTAATAATAATAATAATAATAATAATAATAATAATAATAATAATAATAATTGTTATTATTATTATTATTATTGTTGTTATTATTATTGATGTTATTAGTAGTAGTAGTAGTAGTAGTAAAAAAAAAACTGAAGAAAAACAGTACAAAAAACATTGAAAAAACAATTATTATTATTATTATTATTATTATTATTATTATTATTATTATTATTTATGTATTTGTTAAAAAATAAAATCCCTTAACACCAACATTGATGTTTTATTAAATGTAATAACTAATATTGGGGTTAAATGTAACAATATAATTTTTATAATAATAATAAGTTTTACATTGCTATCGGTGTATCATTATATTAGTACAATATTACAAAATAAATAATGCATAAACATCTTTCCACCATTTGATCTGACAAGAAAATTTGATTAATAGCATAATCAAACTAATATTATTACTACACCAAAAAACCAACAGTGTGTTTGATACACTGTTTCTGCAGAGATATGCAGTATTGGTGACCTATACACCCTCTAAAGGACCTCAGTGCCCCGTTCCACTCACTCACCCAGCTTAATATCACCACTACTCTCTCCTGGCTTCATGTTTTGTTAGCTTTTAGACGCCTCTCGTGTTCCCTGCCTTGCTGAATCAAAAGTATTGGCATTATTCTGGGTTTCAGTCTACATTCTTGGAATCCCACATGAAATCTAGACCTCCCATATAGCTCTCTTTCATTCTAGCAACATCTTCAGGCATCACTTTGCACTTTGAAGCAATGTTCCACATTTTTTTTTTCACATGTTTTTAGAGTTTTTAAACTGATGTTGGCGTTTTTGTTGTGAAAGCCATGTTTATAAAGAAAGATACAGTGAAGAAATTACTTCCCATAGGCTTCTACATGTAGTGCTGGGTTACATGTGATCTTGTACAAACACAAACATAACACAGTTCAATGCATCATCGTTGGGTTCTTTTGTGAATTATGGATGAGTGTGTGGACATACTCAGTGATTTCTTAGCATAAAATCAATATTTACTTGTTGATTGATGGCTAGTTTTCTTTCTGTTCTAGCTTGTGTTCCCACTGGCCACAAGATTCAAACATGTATGGAGCAATAAAATAGTCCCAGGTGAGTTATAAGACTACACCCATTCTATTTTGTAGTTGATAATCATATTATGGGAAAACTAGCACAAATAAGAATTTGAGTTGCTGCATTAGTGGTAAACGAATTAAAGGAAAAACCAACATAAAGTGTCTTTTTAAGGTGTTGTGCCACCATGAGTGGCCAAAGCAGCTTCAATGCAACTTGGTATAGATTTGACAAGTCTATGGAACTGTACTGGATTGTGAAAGGTATTCCTGCAATTGGGCTTTTTGGTGGTAGAAAACATGCCTGTCTAAAATATTTAAAAAGCTGAGGTCTGGTAAACTTAAAAGCCGAAGCATATGATCTACCTTTTCCCCTAAGGGTACAAGTGGCTCCAAACCATGCCAGCAAACAGAGCCACCTGATGTCCCCATTGTCAGAATCAAGCACTCAGGCATGTACTGGTCTATTGGCGTATGCCACACATGCACTCTCCCACTTGTGGAGAATATAGTGAAGGATGACTCACCTGAACATATCACATCTCTGTAGACCAGTGACTGTGGTTTTTATGTGCATTTGTCTTTGTAATGAGGTGTTTGCAATGTAAGCCTCCTTAAATATCCCTGTGTTATTGTGGATGGACTGTGTTTTTGCTGACACAGTCTGATCATGTCCTGCACTGGCATTCGTTGTCACCTGAGGAAGAGTTGCTCTCACATATCACACTAATGCATGAACATCACAGCCACTGAATGAGTGCTTTCCATCACAATTTTCATTGACCACATTTTTATACATGCCACAGAGAATGGCAGGGTGTTAACTGCTTAACTGTATTGTGCAGTACACCAGTCTGGAAGCATGGTTTTCCTTTTATTTGTCAATTGTATTTCTGAAAGGAGAAGATAAATGATTCTTGTTCAATGATACATAACATTATGTAACTTTCTTTTCCTTTTAATTGACCATATTTGTGATTTGATTACTATGTTTCAAATGCAAAGTATTCTGGATGCTCATTTTAGTTCATTTTCAACCTTGTCATTTACATTTTTCTACAGATGACTTAAAATCTATGTAATTGTGCTATTTGTAGTAGCATCTTAATAGAATACTTTTATACAGTCGTATGCATATGTTTGAACACTCCTGGTAATGTTACATGGTTTGATGATTCAATATGTTAACATATACACTAAAGGAAGCAAAATTAAATGTGACATTTCAATGCAGATTTTAGTGCAAGATTTCTATTTATTTGCTGAATATTAAAACGTAAAAATTAACATGTACCTGCTACAAGGGCCAAGTGTTAGGTTTTGTTCATTTTCAATATGTTAAATTCAGCAAATTAATAGTAAGTGTGCATTAAAATGAGCAGAAGGATGTTCTCTGTAGATGACATGTTCACTTGATGCAGATTTTCTCTTAGAACAGTGGTTCTTAACCTGGGTGCTATAAAGATACACCAATCAGCCATAACATTAAAACCACCTCCTTGTTTCTATGCTCATTGTCCATTTTATCAGCTCCACTTACCATACAGGTGCACCTTGTAGTTCTACAATTACAGACTGTAGTCCATCTGTTTCTCTATATACTTTATTAGGTCCCTTTACCCTGTTCTTCAGTGGTCAGGACCCCCATGGACCCTCACAGAGCAGGTACTATTTGGGCGGTGAATCATACTCAGCACTGCAGCGACACTGACGTGGTGGTGGGATGTTAGTGTGTGTTGCGCTGGTACGAGTGGCTCAGATACCTCAGTATCACTGCTGGACTGAGAATAGTCCACCAATCAAAAATATACAGCCAACAGCGTCCTGTGGGCAGCGCCCTGTGGCCACTGATGAAGGACTAGATGATAGCCAACACGAACTGTGCTGCACCACATAAGCAATCATCTCTAACTTTACATCTACTAGGTGGACCAAGAAGGTAGGAGTGTCTAATAGAGTGGACAGAGAGTGGATCCAGCAGCCCTGCTGTGTCTGATCCACTCATACCAGCACAACACACACTAACACACCACCACCACCACGTCAGTGTCACTGCAGTGCTGAGTATGATTCACCGCCCAAATAGTACCTGCTCTGTGAGGGTCCATGGGGGTCCTGACTGCTGAAGAACAGGGTAAAAGGGGGCTAACAAAGTATGCAGAGAAACAGATGGACTACAGTCTGTAACTGTAGAACTACAAAGTGCACCTATATAGTAAGTGGAGCTGATAAAATGGACAATGAGTGTAGAAACAAGATGGTGGCTTTGATGTTATGGATAATCTGTGTCTATCTATCTGCAAATTAGTTTATAATGTTAAAAAATATAGTGATTCCAAAAGTATCGTTAATGCAGGATTGACAGTCATTGGGCAGATTACTAAGGTTACCTAATACTACAGTTGGTTAGTTGGTAGAATACTAACCAACTAACTAACCACAGCGCAGAAGTCGAGAAACTACCAGCCAATCCTGGTACAAGAAGGCGGCAAACTACTATCCAATCATAGCGTAGGATGTGCTAAAACTACCAGCCAATGGCTGCGCAAGGAGGCGGGCTCCTTTCCTGAACCTGGAGCAGAAGCGCTGCAGCCCCGCAGAGGAATTGTGGGTGTATTTTTTGCCAGTCTGGTCCGCGCCCTCATAGCGGCACACGGAGCGGAATCACGGCGAGTTTGGCGCGCGAGCTCATTCCCCCAGCCGGAGCTCCGTCCGCCGTCACGGAGCGAGCAGTTGACCCCACTTTTTTTTCGAGGGGGGTGTATTCAGAGGCTCATTTGATTGGGTGTGATCATGCAAAAGCCGGACGACTTTGATTCGTTTTGGGCTGAAAGTGCGGCTGACCAGCGCACGTGCGCGGATGTGTGTACGACGGACTGCGCCTTCTAGGAGCTTTCTTCCGTCTGATGAACGCGGGGTGGATTCTCGTCAAGGACGTCGTGCGTGTGCGCGCGCGTGTGTATGCATGCGTGAGTGTATGTGTGCATGTGTGAGCGCCCAGCAATGACTCAGAGCTAGCTTAGCTCGTGCCCACTTCAGCAACACACTTTTCCTTCGCCCCTCGCTTTTTTTTTTATTTTTTGACGGACGCTTCTTGTTTGTGTGCGCGCGCGTGTGTGAGAGAGAGTGTGTATGTGTGTGAGTGTGTGTGTGTGTGGATGGAAGTGCCAGACTCGGGGCTGAGAGAGCTGCTGCATGGCTCGGACAGTGCGTGCGCGCGCTCGGGACGGAACTAGCTGAAGAAGAGGAAAGTTAGCAGAAGCTCCAGTCCGGCGAGGAAAGGTAAGACATGATCGCGGTTTTCTGTCTTTCTTCCTGTTTCTTTAGTAATTTTCCCATTTCTAAAGACTTGCCAGCATCCCCAGGTGTGTGTATGTGTGTGTGGCGCGTGCCTGCTGTGTGTGTGCGCGCGCGTGATGGAGAATAATTTTGCACCCTACATATTCTTATCGACACGCTAATATTATAGCGGCGATGCAATTCAATTTCTCGTGCTTTGCCACTAACAGAGCTTGAAAGGTCAGTCTTGCCTGATACTCCGGGTATTCTGTGCTCATAACGCACAAATACACGGCGTAATGGAACATCTGTGGAAATCGCCTCTATTAATGAACGGACGTGATTTGTGAAACGATGACTGATACGTTTGTCCGCAGAATTGACCGCGTTAACCAAATGCAATGCCCTGTTTAATGTTTTATCACGCACTGTAGTTATATTGAAAGATAAATGGGCGCTGTTTCTGCACATTCTTAGTAACTAATGGGATTCAGCACCATGGACAGCTCCAAAAGCCCTATTGGCTTTTTGCTCTTGTTCCGTTGAGCAAGTGGCAGGCTGGACCTCCAAGGGATTTTGTTCCACTTTTGCCCACAGGGTATCACCTAAGCAGTGCTGCTGATACTGGAATATATGTGGAGTGGGTAATGGTCATTCATTATGCTGGACTGTTGGCATTAATAAATGTTATACCTGTAGGACAATCATTTTAATACTGGACTACACCATCTCTGAATCAATCTTTTTCATTGCCTTGTAAGCTCCCTCACTCCCGGTCTCTCTCTCTCTCTCTCTTTCTCTCTCTCTCTCTCTCTCTCTCTCTCTCTCTCTCTCTCTCTCTCTCTTTGTCAAATGTGGGCACTGTGAGGGAGGGATTTTATGTGGCCTTGACCATGAAGAGGCTTCGGTATTAAATTTATAGTGGTCAGTACCAGAAATAATAATCTAATGGTTAAATTAGTTTTACATTTTTGCATTTTCTCACATTTTTATTTATTTATTTATTTTTGATATACAATACAAAAAGAGTCTCTCTTGCATACATTATCATGCACTGGAATCAGACAAACATGATTACAGATTATGATGACATTTTGAAGGTCATGTCTGACAGAAATCTGACAGCTTTTTATGTTTGCAGTGTGCTGCAAACACCCAGCAATTAGCTGTGTTGTCAGGAGCATGACGGCCTTACTACTGAGACACTCAATACTGAGCTCGCTTGCCAAATATTGACAGACTGGCACATGAAGACAAACCAGGGGGGGCTACATTTGTTAGAGCACAGCATGAACTATAACACACATTAGTCTTTTGTGTTCTCGGGCTTGGATGCTTAAGATGTTTTGAGGTGATGTTGGCTAGATTTGTGCCACACCCAGTCAGTGCCAGTGGCAGTGTGCAGACATTCTTATCAGTTGGCGTTTTTTTGACTGCACATTCAAAAACTGACCAAAATGGACCGAATAGAACTTACAGTTCTAGTTCTACTTCATTGTCCACAGCTAGATCTATCATAATAACCTCAATGAATGATTTCACTGTCTTTTTGGTCATTTTGGGCCACCAAAAAGTGTCTGCTTTGGCTAGTCAGCTGGCTTACTTGAAAGATATTGTTAACTTATTGGACTAATTGCACTAATATGAAATGATAATGATAAAATCATGGTTCTTCAATGGTTCTTTAGTAAAGAAAATGGTTCTATGTAGAACCATGAACACTCTCAGAACACTTTGCTTGATTAAAGGGTTCTTTGCATGGTAAAATGGTTCTTCAGATTGATGCAGAATATGCTGTAGATGGACATATAGAACGTTTTTGAAAAGGGTTTTATATAGCACTGAAATGGTTCTTCTATTGTTGTCATGTCAAGCTTGTAACAATAGAAGAACCCTTTTTGGTGCTATATAAAGTCCTCAGTGACAGTTTAGTACCCTTTCTAAGAGTGTAGTGTACTGTCTGGTGTACTCACTGGTCATGCAATAGTACTTGGACACATTATCCTCACTTGGAACTGTAATAAAGAATTAGCTACTTTATTGGCTTCAGCTGCAAGTGTTAACAAAGACATAGGAGAACACCCCTGAGTACCATAAGGTTCTTTGCTACAAGTATTCAGCAGATACTAAACATCATAAAATTTGAACCTTATGTACTGGAGTGATGGCCAGTGGAAAAAGCTCAGCTCCAGTTTTGTGGTGTCAAAGGTTCCTCTGTATATGAATGTATAGGAGAGACTTAACTAGTTCATCACATCCTTGCCGGATTTCCCATGCCATTGTGCTCAACAACTGCTCTGTGTATGTGTGCCTTTGAGCAGAAGATTATGTGTGGATTTCTGCTGAAGGTAAGCATTTTTTGAAGCAGCCGTCAGATATTCCTCTCTCTCTCTCTGCCCCTAAAGCCAGCATCTGGCTTCTTTCTCTCTCTCCTTCACATGAAAACTAGGCCTTCTTCATCTCCCAGTCTCCTGATTTCTCTCTCTCTCCCACACACAGCATGGAAAGTCCCTCAGCATGACTCGTCCCCTCTGTCAGCACACTGGGAATTAGAAAGTGGGAGTCTATTACCGGGCATGGGGTGACCGCGAGGCATGCACAATACTCCTCTGCCTCTGTTTCTCACGAAAACACCATAAACACCGCCGTGTTGGCCCAGTGCAGCCACCCGTGCCCATGTCCTGCTGAGAGCTGATAATGCATTGTCCCTGTTGTAACAAAAGCTCATACCTACAAAATGGTAACTTTATAGGAGAAGGAAGAAAAATTCTTATCCCCTCAAACCTTCCATCCATAAGATCCAAATGTGGGTCCACACTTCAATTCCTTACTCTCATTACAGCATAACTTGCATATTACTTCTGTAGTAGTTAAAGAATAATCCATAAATGTTACTGAATCTAAAGACTAATAAATGAAAAATAAGATTAGAGTACAAGGGCCTAACCATAATGCAGTGTAAATAATAATATTGTAATAACATGGTAATAACATGTTAATGCATTCAATTGTTACCAGATTTTTTTTTTTCTTTTTTTTTTTGTGTGTTGTCAATGGCTTTTCTTGTTTTGACCATGTCCATAATAGTGCAGGCTGAAGCCCTGATGCTCACAAGCTGCTGCTGCATCTCTGTGACTGTGGCACTCTCATTCAAATACAGCTATTAAAGGGGAAATTCAACTGATAGCCCTCTTGGTGAAGGTTATTACCTATGGAAACCATGTGATTTTCACTGTCAGTTTGTGTGAGGTACACAAATAATGTTTTTTGAAAATAATGTCATTCAATTATTCATGTTGATAAATCCATTATAATCAAGTGTGTGTTCTTCACTCATATAACTAAAGCAAAATGCAGTGCTTTTTATATTGGAAAATCCTTTTGTAGGGCTAAATTTGTATGACTAAATAGGATGAATGTGATTAATCACAATTAACTCCACAAAATAATACAATTAAATATTTTAAATATTTTATTTGACAGCCTTTATGTTAATAATACAAGTTTTTCTTTCAAGTAATGAATGTCTATGAATTGTCCCCCTGAAGTATTTCTAGCTATCAGATGGAGTACAAAAAATAAACAAATAAAAATAAACGATGTACAGTTTTGATGTGACATTGATAATATTGATGACAGTACAGACATAAGACGAAAGTTGAGGTTGGATTGTAATGACTCTCACTTGATTAATACCATTTTGCAGGGTTTCAGCTTGTACCTCAGTTAGAACCTTTTGTGGATGTTGGGGTTGAAGAAACATTTTCTGTTTTTGATTGGTAGAAACATTTCTTAGTGGTTGCAAAGATTATTCCAGACACTAAGTGGAAGCCCATGCCATAATATTAGCAGCAAAAGCAGCATTATTACAGCTAACAGACGTTTAGTTGTATTTATTTATTATTTTTTTTATTTATATTGAAGGTATCTCCCAGTAGGTGAAATGTGGATTAACCTCTTTAAATGCCATGCTTCCTACAAGGCTTATTATTCAGTAATTACATGGACTACAATATAAGCTTGCATTATTATTAAGTTATAACATATCCTTATTTAGCAAACCTGTGTTGCAGAAGTTTGGACCAGATGTAGAACTTTTTAGACCCCTCTTTCTCATCAGAACCAGGACCAGGAGGCCAGGCTAGCATCTGTTGCATTGGCCTTTTTTATTATTGTGAGCATGGTTCACAGACGCCAAGTTGACCTGCTCGACATAGAAAATGACTGTGTTTGTATAGGCTGCCTCAGGCACATTGTTGCCTGGACCATTGCCAAATGTCCTTAACCTATACATAGGAAGCCAAGAATAACTGTTCACAGTATCCTCCCATTGTCCTCCCAGGTACAGCTCACATAAAACATACATAGATCACATATATATATTATAACACATAAAACTGAACATAATGTAACACATAAAACACATAATACAGCAGGTCCTTCACTGCTGACAGGCCCTGACCACTGAAGGGCTTAAATGAGTGTGTGATTATTTGCCCCAAGCCCCATGAAGAACCCTATTAGACAGTGGTTCTCTACCACACTGCTGGGAATCCTTTGTACATTGTGTTTTTCCTACACCTGATTCAACTCATCAGGTCATGATCAATCTCATCATGAGTTGAATCAGGTGTGCCAGAGTAGGAATAAACATAAAACGATGCAGTGCATGGGGTCCCGCTTTGGATTTGGATTGAAAACCACTGTTGTAAGTTTTTGTTTGTTTGGTTTTGAAGAGCCTATAATCAGAAATCTCAACACTCCAGACACACCTGCCCCTACTTCTCCCTGAAGGATTGTACACACAGAAAAGAAGCCACGAGTCAAGAAATGTTTCGCAATAATGTGCAGGTTTTTGATCCGTACTGTCATCATAGTCAATATATCCACACTTTCTTTGCCCAGTAAACAAATAAATAGAACCAAATTCAAAACTGCAGAGTCTCAGGGGTGGTGCAGTCATCTAAGTATTGGCCCTATCATCAGGAGATCACTAGTTCGAT